TTACGGTTTCAGTACGGTCGTGGGTGTCTCGGAGGGTGGCTGGTTAAACTACTGTTGCATCTCGCCAAATGATCCTATAGAATCAAGCGTCCTAGACAACATGTGAAGAAAAAATCCTACGCAATGCATTCCCGTAGCGGAGGTGCTTTCCCATCAAAGTGAGAGTCAAGTCAAGAAAAGCTTTATACACCCAAAGGGTGAATTTTCAGCAATTTACGATTTTTACAGTCGATAGATAAAGCCAATTGCAAACAAAAAAGGCAATGTAAGAAATTCTCCAATATAGTCAATGGGAGAAAAAAATAATGCTAGAGTTTTACCTAAAGTGGCTGAGAACAGTCTGCCAATTAAACCAATAACCGAGCAAGCTATGGATTCAGACTGCTTCTATATGTGGAAGTACACACGGGAAGCAGTTGAGATTTGGAGCGAGTTCGTGGATTCGGCACGGCTTTTACGATATCTTAATGCGGTGGTGCCCTTGATCATCTGTTATTCTGTTAATGAAGATTTCACAAGCGTCAAGATGCTTGGAATTAAAGAAATCAACCAAAGCAACTCTGTGAACTCCACTGCAGCAGGACAAAAGTTTAAGGGATTTCGAAAATAAGATGAAGTCTTTTTCTTTCAGTCCAGGGATAAAAGTCGGGGAGCAGTATAGCCAGTGTTGAAGAATGCAGACGATCACAAATTTAAGAATAAGATAATGTTTTACCAGATTCCTGAGCCTGCATGCATGAAAAGATAGTCTTCGAACTTTTGTGTAAACGCTGATGATATGAGCATACAATGAGGAGTTATGGGTTAGGGTGACACCAAGTTATTTATCAGATACAGATTTGGGAATGCTTTGATTGTTAACTATACGATTGGGGAGATTATTTACGAATGAAAGATAACGGGAACCGGCTTTAAACACAAGTGGAACTTCATTGCACTTATTGATATTAAGTATAAGGGATCTGGTCACGGACCGATCATGAAGTTCATTAAGGCTGTCCTGGAGAGATTGAAAACTGTTTGAAATAGAGGATGGGCAACGAATCACAATATCATCAGCATTCTTTCGTGCAATAAAGTTGCGGGAAATGGGGAGACTTTGTATATAAATAGAAAACAAAAAAGAGGACAAAAATAACGCCGTGAAAAACGCCGGCTTTAATGTTAATAGAAGATGACTGTATCCCCATTCAGTGAAGTAAACTGAGTCCTACGAGAGAAGTAGTCGATTAGTACATTCAAAACTTCATCTGTCAGGCCAAATTCAGAAGACGTTCAATAAGGCGTTTGCATAATCAAAAAAAGATAAATGGGCGGTACCTGCACCTTTGTCTAAGACGGAAGCAATATAATGAACAATAGGAGCAAGGACGTCAAGTGTGTACAGATGGGGTTTATAAACAAATTGTAAAGGATCATGTAAGTATCTTGCAGTGCAGCTAAACATTTTCAAAGCCTTCAGCAAGACAGATATGCAAGCAATTGGACGGTACTTTGGTGATCCTTTGTTTGGGATTGGTCTGATCCGGACTGACCTTCAACAATCGCGGATCTTTCCGGATGGCAAACAAATACGGCACAAGGTAGCGGGGTGGTGTGCGAGAATCGCAGTCTATATAATCGGATCATACTTCCTTTGGAAACAATCAAAACGTCCAAAGTGCCTAATACACCTCGATACCTAATTGAGCTGGTGACCACTATAACAACCAGCAAATTCTGTGTCTCTTCTTGGTTGGTTTGGTATCAGAGGTTTTGGCTAACCAATCGAGGTGGACTGCCGGAGACCAACCGACCCGATTATAGCCCCGAAATTTGGCTTTTCGTTCTCTCACTTTGGTGGGAAAGCAACTCCGCTACAGGATCGCATTTTGCAGGATTTTTACTTTAGAAGATGTCTGAGACGCTTGTTCCTACAGGATCATTTGGCGAGGTGTAATGGAAATTTAACCAGTCACCACCGGAGACACCCACCCTCGACCATACTGTGGTTTCGCTGGTCAGTTTTCGTTCGACTTCCTTTAACTTTGTTCTACCAACAACCTGTCTCAGCAAACATTGTATGTCGATATAGTTTTTCCGGTTTATGCGTTACACTTGTTCCAATTATCTTAATTTATAGGGCTCAACCAGTTTCTACAGTGCACAACCTCAAGAGCGTAAAACTGAGTCTAATCTGGTCGTCCCTTGTTCGGTTATCTGAATCGGGCTCGACAAATGCGAGGTAGAACGTTGACACCAATCTGGATCTTCACACAACAACAGTTTTGGTCTGTCACGAAACTGAACCTATCTTAATAATAGTTAGTTAGTTAGTTAATAAAGTCAAAGAATCAACTACCACGAAGGAGAGAGTGTTATCATTCCTCATTTGGGTGGTGGCAGAAATCGATATAACGTCCGATCAGAATGTGAAAGAACTATCGGGTTTATGCAAAATATCGGCTCAGATTTGCGAACAACGCAGACGCTCTGCGACTCGTCTGATTTTGCTTGGGTTGAACTGACATTTACCTTTTGTTCGGTACGTGATTGCGTATCACATGTGTACGGTTTCGCGGTGTTTGAACTTACGGACCGATCATTCAGTGAAACATATTGATGGATTTCGGGTCCCCACTCAATGTTAATCCTAGTTGGTCCACATCAGGGGGAGTGATGTTTAACTAATTAATTTGATGCTTTTCTCCTGTTCTATCTGGTACCCTCATACTATTATTGTAACAATGCTGTTTTCAGGCAATCAACTGGATGATCTAAAACCTCATCGTATCAGCGATTAAGGATACGGACCACTTACCAGTTTTTGCGGGCAGTACACATGGTAGTAACGTGTGAACTATGGCTGAGGATCAGGTTCATTCCCCCTGTCCACTAGTCACACCAGTTATAAGTTGATTGAAAGGGATTCAACAGAGTCGTCCTTTGCTGAATTGTGGAGCATTTGATTAAAACAGGCCACTTGGTAGGTGACAAATGGTGATTTAAGGTCATCCTCAGTACCGCTATTATTCTATCTAACCAACTAAAGGACATTGTGCTACGTACAGCCGAAGCGGTATATATTCGGTTTCAACGTCCCAAAATGTACTAACAAAAAAAGGATTATTCCCCCCCTCCCTTGTGGTCACAATGGGCAGACGATAGCGTAATCAATTGTTGATGAGAAGATCAAATCAGAACAGAATGATCAAGTTGCGTGAGCGGTTTCATCATCTGATTGCAAAATCCCTTTCCCAATCCAGCCTGTTTTGTGATTCATGACTTATTACAACTCTGTGATCGCATATCTATGTAGAAGTGTGAGAATGCATCAACGAAAAGAATCCACTGTCTTTTCACAGCAAAAGAATACAGTTGAGAAGTGAATGAAACGGAACGAGATTTAGAACCATTGCGGTCTGTTAAGTTCGATCAGTGGGGCTGTCTTGTGCCAATGGGTTGATAAGTCAAGAAGGACACAAATGTCCACATTTACGTCTTTGAGAATTACTGCTTCCACTTTGGTACATCATGCAGTTGTTTCTGATCTATTCGGGTTGGAATTTTCTGTCGTCGCATCGACCGATTCCCATTGTCAAATGGACACACATTGTGCACAGAATTTGTGCTGAATTAGTAATGCGCAGCCTCGAAACACGCATGCACGTCGCTTTCGCATGTTCCGTTGCGGCGTCTGTAACGGTGGCACACTGGGTGGACGAGATCCGACGTGTTTTCATCCATTCTTCCGAGCAAAACTCCAAGACCAGTCTGTTTGTATGTGCGCGCGATGGGTGGGGGCGGAGGCGGTAAATCTGCTAGATTTTTGTGGTGTATTGAAGCACGTGGAATTCTGACTGACTCACTGTACGTTCCTAATGTTCGTATGTGCGTGCGTGCGTTTCGGTTTAATTTTTTTCTGTATTTCCTCGTGCTGCTGGTCACGCATTTGGTCGTGCCTCATTCGTGACGGTCTCTAAGAAGTGGTCAATTCTAAACCTAGTCAACCAGAATGAAAGATCAATTCTCTGATCGCTTGTCAACATCCACAACGTTCGTTGTCTTTTGCTTTATATTTTGAAACCTACGAAATCCCCACCAAATCGTCATATTCAATGAAGCTTTCAATTGGTCTTATATCCTCTCGATTTCCACCCTTGTCTACACTCAAGTGTACTGTATATGCAACACCGGCGTGACAGTTTATTCACTCAACGCTTGTCTGTTCTTACGTTCCATAAAAACACATTCTAGTTTGTTGAATAGAAACATGTGAAGCAAAAGAAATTCCTAAGCAGGTGGGTTGATTGTATATATATATATATATATATATATATATATATTCACAAACACTGATAATGGCACCTCGGCTAGCTAAGGACCTTCTCTTTGCCTCACAAATGGCTCTCTACATCATAACTGACGTTTCTTTCCTACTTCGCCTGTTGTCCCAAGCCATCCGGACCGTACAAATTGAACTTTTCTTCATCACCGAATGTTACTTTCTCTCGTTCATCGATTCTTTTGTCTAAGGAATCTTACAGTCCATCAGAGTGTATTTCATCGGGAGTACCTCTTTTGTACTGTCCTATTCCAAATGCTGGCGGCTTGGAACACATCTTTAACCAGGTTGATGTTAAATGAAATTACAGTAGTCGGCAGAATCAGTGAAGTATTGTTAGAAACATTTCGTACTCCTGTGGAGCAATATTCAGAGTTCCACTTTGATTTAATTCAATTTCTTTATCGAATCTATTGACTACATAAGCTGTGCGAGGAGTGCGCGAACTTCCAACTTTCTGGATAAAACTGCGGCAAAGATTCACAGCCAATACGTGACATAAAAAGCGGGTTGCCTTCAAGGGATCCCGCGTATCGGTAAACATATTAGTACTTGCAATTGTTTATTCAGTGTGGATCTACAATGACGATCTGAACGTTATTCCTCTTCTGCATTCGAACATTCACTTCAATCAGAATGGACGTTCATTTGCTCCCCGGTGCATCATCGAGGTCATATGTCCAACATCCGTTGTCTCACATTGCCGTGCAAGCTCAGTTCAAACACAGAAATCGAAACCGAGACAAATTATCTTCTCACCGGTGGTGGTCGTGGTCAAGTTTGCTTGTGGAGTTTGGGTCTAGACAGCGGTCAAACAACCGCTGTCGCGGATCCAGCTGTGTGGCGTCCTGGTTGGCTTGGATTCACGCGGCTTCGGCACACGGAAACCGATGGTCTGAGTTCTTTGGCTGGTCACATATCTCGCTCAGCCACAACACGACATGCCGATCCGAGAGCAACAGATTTGCGTGTCATGGCTTTGGTGTGTCTACGCCGAGTGGATTGTCCTCACACGAATTGGTTACTGGGTATGGCGGCCTGTTCGGACGGTTCGATACGGTAGGGTTACGTGCGGTTACGACAAGTTAGATCGGTTGATAAATATCGTTTTTTCTGTTTCTAGTGAGGGCAGCTCATTTTTTGTTTTCCTCGTCTGTGTTCGATTGCATCATATTCTCACTTCATCCATCGCTTAGTAGATCCTACCGAGGGAGAAGCGTAACGATTCAGACCTCTGAACGGTTTACTGCCCTGTACTGGGTCTCAATCCGCACCTATTTGGCTTATAACCTTTATTCATGGGAGCATGCCCCCGCGAGTGGAATAGAAAGAGCTATTCACACAAGAATAGAAGTAAGTGTTCTTTGGCACTCAGTTATTCTGTCCTACAACACTGCTAGAAATAGCTTTCAGATCAAATCCAGGCCAAGTAGTCACAAGCCGACTCTGCCACAAGTTCACCCGGTATGTGTCGGATGGTCATTCATTTTCCACTGTTCGATTGTCGACTGTTAGTCAGTCTGTTTATGTCTGCATGCAAAAGTGTCGTTTGTCCCGCTTGGTTTCATATCCAAACAGCCATGCGTTCATCATTTGCTGTCCTTCACTTTTGTCCATCTATCGTCCCGCACATTGTGTGACATTCAGTATGCCGAACAAATATGGGCATTTTATCTTTCCTGATCTTTCTTGCCAATCTGCTTCTAACCACCGCCCCTCCCTCTCCCCGCCCGCCCAACCCCGTCATTCCCGTTTGTCCTGGTTCATTCTTTCACTGTTGACTTGATTACCGCCATCAGGACTTCCGGTCGGTGCGCCACGTTCACTACACCTCAACACGGCGTGCCCACACATTCGACATTCTTAGCAAACAAGTACAATCTCACACACACACATACATCCGTTGTTCTTCACTGATGTGGTTGGTTTGCTGCAGATTGTTCTAACCACGCCCCCCTGCTCACTGGCTTCGTTTCTCCGGACTGTCCCGGTTCACGCGATCCAGTTTGTAATGCAATTGAGCGCTTGACATAAATACACGACACAGGATATCCTTCTGACAATGCACGTTTTCGCATGAGCCTTGATAGGCTTTTTGCTCAACCCTAACGGATACGCACGTTCGCTCCTGAGCATTCGCACGAGTTCTAACTGAAGTGTTGTTTGCCGTTGGACAAGATCTCAGATATACTTTCGTTCTGTGTACAACTGGCAAAGAGCCCCTTTTTCATTTGGTTTAGTGTTTCTCTATATCGCAATGCGAATGCGGCATATAGGTACTTGTTCTTCTCACCAAACCACCATCCGACCGGTATCACTGATATTACCGCAGACTGTCAAAAAACATAATGTTTTGTGCATGTCATGAGTGCCTGTTGCCTCTGAACAACCGAATGGGCTAATCCAAAGTTNCCAAAGTTTTGAGACTTTTCCAATGGCGTTGATCTTTATCCTGTGATTAGCTGTCCACGTGATCACCAATCATCGACTAGTTCCGTTCTTTTCTCTTTGCATATCTGGATTGTTTGGACAACTTTTGCTGCCTCAAAGATTATTATAAAATCAGCATTCCATTCAGATATGAGGTATCTGTTTAAAGAAAATTGTGATGGATTTCGATTGTGCCATTTTAGTTCTCTACCGGTTGTTTAATTAAAAAAATGAACCTAGACTTATAGTTCATTTTTCAAAATCAACATTTCCATCTGTACGATTTATCAGTGACTAACTCAGCTGTGATCAAAAAACCGAATTTTCGATATGGCTTATCCTTACCCTGTCATATTTTCCCGTTTCTCTAGTTTAATAGACATCCGTCCACCGGNCGGACAGTGACTGTCCGCGTAACCCATGTATTCTGGAAATGGGATCGTTGGAGTCGCTTAGCGGTCACCCGGATCTGCCACGTGCGTGCTACTTGGACTTACAATTGACCGATTTTCATGGTCAAACACTTTCAGTCACAGCTAGTACCAGTCGTGGAGAGTTACGCTGCTGGTTGCTTCACTGGCCTCCTAGGGTCGATCCCGATGAGTGGGTTACTGATCTGCAATGGGTCTTGCCGGTCGAACCCATTCCTCCATATCAGACGATCACGAAACCAGCACTCAACTGCCTGAGCGTTTTGGAACCGGTCGGAATGGCGGATACCTCCCGACACTTGATTGTGGGTGTAGATGATGGCAGTGTCCGTGTGGCTTCTGTTGGTGCCCTTTGTTGCCAGAACAGTAGTTCTGTTCCACATGAACCCCGCTGGGTTGCATCTGCTGTGCATCATTTTGCCACCGTTTTGCGTCTGTGCACCTTGCCCACTCGGGGGGATCAGTCGGAGCGGATGTTCGTGACTCTGTCGGCCGATCAACGATTGATCTTGTGGTCATTCAACCGGTCGACCGGTGCACTCACTCCTTCGCATCGTGTGATGTTGTCTGGATTGGGCGATCCGCACGGAATGCACATTGTAACCGTCCCCTGTGTCTCAGATCAAGTCATAAAGTCTCCCGAGCATTTTAGGACCTATATTCTTACAACAGGGGTCGGCTCCGCCCTATTGGAGCTCTCTTCCATGTAAAGTGTATTTGTCTTCTATTTTTCTCAATGATTAAGTAATTATTTTTTACTGACGGATTGATGTCTTTTTACTGAAGCTGGGTTGGACATGTGATGTTTTAACCATACGTAGAAAGCATAGAAGATATCTCATCGACTGATTGTAAACTTTTGCAAACACGTCTTGTTGGGTACGCCGGTGATTATATGCATGCTAAATTTCGTGTGTGGATCAAATAAAGCCCGAATTGAAAAGCTAGGAAACAGGGTAATTGTTTGAACCTGGTTCGGTCTCACCAGCAGTGCTAACCTATCAACCCATCTTTCATCCGGTTCGAATGTTCACAATTGAGCCGTTACCCTGGAGGCTAGTGCTGAATGCGCCAGATGCGGTGCCTGCATTAAGCTCGCTAGGATAGGTTGTTCTATATCGTGTATGAGAAAAATGAAAAACGGTTTGATCGGCTTCCCGGAGTTGGTAGTACGCTTGCGTTCTACCTGTGAAATTCCTGGTTCGAACCTCAGCCAGGTCTATGAATGCCTCCAAAAGCCTCAGCATGGTCGGGGGTGGGTGTATGGGGTTGCGGCTGGTCACTCTTCCATTGCACCTCTCGAAATGCTCCCATACGACCAAGCGTCTCAAATAGCCTCTGTTGAGGAAGCCCTACTCACTACCTTCTCGTAACGGAGGCGTTTTCCCACCAAAATGAGAGGACGAAAAGCCGACATCCAAGGCTATAACCGGGTTGATGGACCACTGGTAGTTCACCTAGGGGAGTCGGCGAAACACCCTGATTCCATACCAATCGCGAGGAGGCGCACAAACCACACACAACCTCCTGGTTGTAGCAGTGGTCACCGGCTCGATTGGGCAACTTGGACGTTTGACCCCGTCTAAAAGACGTATGATCCGATGAACTGGACACCGGCCTCCGATGGATGGACGTTTTCGCACACCACCCCGCTACCTTGAGGGTCAGGCTTTGGCTAGCCGAAGGATCCGGTTACAGATTCCTCAAAAAAATTTACCTGCCTTGGCCTGGGCAGCCTGTCAGTATTCCGCCCACATGCAAATCATGGAACTTTTTTTAATTTTTTATAAAGATTATTGTACCATGATTTGTTTGGCACAGTCTGGATTCAGACGTGTGAGAAAATATAAATAATATTGCTCGATGCATTCGCATTGTTGATGGGGCTGAACCAAGTCAAAACAGCTTTCCAGCGTTTCCCCTAGCATTTTAAGTTCGAACTTTATTTACTCTCTGGATGACGAAACTTACCATATGTTCAAACCCAATTCTTCACTAACCCTGGGTGGTAAACAATAAACGGCATGAACCTCAACCAGGAAGACCTCTTATTCCTCCATGGGAACCGGCAATCTAAGCCCGGGACGTGAATTGGTTAACTTCATAAGGCCCTGTTGATTATCGTTCCACCCCTGTGTTACAAGGTGAACTATGAATCATGGGGTTTGATAAATATGAAAGTAATAGTAATGTAGAAAAAATCTACGCAACCCAAATCGACTGACCACATTTGAAATGTGCATCAACCGAATTCCTTTACTAGACTTACTGAAATATCGCAATGTACTGTTTCTTTTGTATACCGGTACACAGAGTCCGTTTTCAGCAATCGATTTTCCATTTTTCACTAGCAGTCTTGTTCCGATGGTTTCGTTTTGTGTGTGTGTTCGTGTACGGCTGGGTGGGTTGGTGGGGTAGGGTGTATTTTTGTACTGTACGCAATGTTCAAGCTGAATGTTTACGATCGAACCGTGTCTCCCATCATCCATTAACTATGCGCGGTTGGACTGCGATTTTTTATTCTGCGTTGAACACAATCGGAATTCGAATACTTGTCAATGTGCCAACAATCTGAAGTGATCCGGATGTAAGGTGAGAATCACATCATGGGTATCTTTAGTCAAGGAGCAGGTTGTCGGCAATCGTCAGATATTTGTAGTTTGAATGCGAAGATACATCTCTTCTGGATTGTTTTCATCGAGAAAAGTTATCGTTATTCACTTTGGCGGGCACATTGAATGCACCCATCTCTAAACAGCGGATAAATGTGCGTAAGAAAATTCAGAAACGAATAACAAATCGCGAAATGCCTACCAACACCGCTGATTCAAAAATTAAAGAATAGCCCTTAGTGTCTACTGAATTCTGCATGACCCGTGGTGAAATTGGAATACTGTGTCCCTAAATACCGATGCATTTTTTTCACTCTACCTTAGCACGATTTTGACAGTAAATCCGACGATGTCCGATAAGGTGATTCGGTTATTATTTAGTTTTCTTACTTTAGCGGTATATAAGTAATCAGTGCTGAAATTCAAAATTTGGTTGTGTGCTTTCATCTTTTCCTTCCATATTGTTCAATCCAGATTTGCTAAGTTAGCATGCTTGAACTGCTGACATGATTTGTCATCCATCATTCGCAATGCTGAATGTTCTCTACTATCGTAAAATATTGAGTGCTTAGAAGCACTCAACATTGATCAGATACAAGCACAACTGTACCCATCTTTCTTGATGGACAAACACTGCATCACATAGAACGACGTTTTTAACCCATAGAAAATGTTTCACGATAGATAGGTGATCGGTTTACCTCCGAGGTTCACCATATTTAAGTATAAAGAAGTTGTCCTCCCGAGTTTGTTGTCAATACTTTATTGTGCGGATTGCTGTCCATATCATTGTCTTAATCGTGAGACTCACTAACTGATCTACATTGATATAGGGTAGGTCGATAACTAATACACTTACAGTAATACTTTTAGATAACAGTTCCGTGTATAAAATATCACGCTGATAGACCAAAGCTGTCGATGTTGCATGAAGCGCTTGTCCGCATTTCATGAGGTGTGCATTCAGCCTTGCGATCGAGCAACTGTTTCTATTTTCCGGGAGCATTGAAAGATTCTCACGGTCCATGTGCCTTGGTTGTTTTCTCAGATCGGTATATCCTGGTCAATTATAAATACTCTGGAAGGTGTTCGGCTGGGATAGATACTGCTTACTGGAATTATTCTGTTTCTTAGCCATTGATTATGCGGATACATGCCGATTGTTTTCTTTGGGTGCATGAGATCACTGACCTTTAAACGTGCATAAGATGCTCGTAAAATGTCTTCATGGATAGATACGTCGCTTCAAAAGTGTTACGCAAAAGGATTGTTTCCGTGTCAGGCATTTGTAAACGATAGATTGAGCGGGAAAGAGTTCTCTTGCCTAACAAGGGTGAATAGCTGTTTGTTTTACAAGTTGTCTTGACAACATAACATGAAAATATAGCGGAAGGGGATTATAAAAAAAAATGCAACTTGTCTCGGAATCAATAAATTGGGCGGTGGTTGCCCGGTGGTAAATTTAACAAATTATCACCCTGGCGGACGAGTGTTCGATTCCCATGGCACATTCTGACTTTCCCCATTTGTGTTATATATATATACATATATATATATATATATATATATATATATATAAGTATTAAGTGTTCAATAAAAGGAATTAAAAATCTAACAGTGCGCATAGACTGAACCAAGATCTGGGAGGAGGGGACTGATGTGTGCTGTAAAGAGGTCACCATGTGTCAGTCTAATTATGGCCACGGTAACGTTCACTAAAACAGATTATAATGTTCTCAGCTTTAGTTCCATAATCCGGATCGTTATGACTTAAGCAGTGCTGTGACATCATTTACCTGGACTTTGGATGTGCAACGTACGAGTTGCAGGATCACATTTAATGTATTCCCAATCTCAGGAAGGCACCGTACTCGGGTGATTGGATATTGCGAACTACGCCATTGTGGAGAGAAGCCGCTTTTACTCGTCTGATCATCTGTCTGATATATCAAGCCCTGAAAGTGAATAGATATCGAATAACAGATTGTGAGTGGTGAAACAGTCTATCTGTCGAAGATTTGGTTCTCGCCCCGTCGAGACATACTCCAGAGAGAGAGTTTTATTCATGACTTTTACCATACCCTTCAGAATCTCCAAATATTAAACTCCTTCGAAAGAATTATCTTCACGCAGACCTACTTCGTCAACCGAAACATAGACTGACCGCTTTTGTATTTCGTGTGGCGTCAGGGAAAAGGGATCTTGATATTTATTTTGTGATAGCCCTCTTATAGAATCCATCCCAGCCTAAAGCGGCTGTGATCCGCATATGATTGCTGTTATGTTAATTGAACTAGCTCAACAGAATGCATTTATATCGTGACCATCAAGACGAGACTGCACCTTGACGTGGTATGATGGCTTTTGCGCCTCTGTGACCCAACGAACTACACAGGATGGCTTTTGTCAAGCCATGAGATCTTATCGTGCATGGAAGGTCAATGGTTAGAGGTCAGAAGATGTCCAGTTTCCTGGTCCTCCAGGTTGGGGGTTCGAATGAATTTGCTTTGTAGCCGGTAAAAAATGGTAGAGGAGTAATCGATCCAAATAAATAGGCTTCCACTTCGCTTCACCCGCTATCTTTCGGCTAGGTTCTTGTTAGAACTAAAGGCTTTGGACGAGAACCCTAATCGTTCTTCTGCTTAGTGGCTGGACACCCTAGCAGTACCCACCCATCAAACCCTAATGCATGCACAAAATAAAAATAATTCCATACTGCACCGGTCATCGCGCAGGATAATCAGGACCACGCTGCCCATTGCATCGAGCGAGGTGGGTAGTGATAAGTGGGCTACTGCTCTGATATTCCAACTTTTGTTTAATTCTTTGTCTTGAGCACCCATCCCTCTCCATTCGCCCCTCCTTCCAACCTACAATAGTTCCTCTGGCAACTTGGATTTCGCTCGCCAAAGGTCCTTGCCACCGCCGACCAACGATCGCAGTGTTCCTTGATCTGAAATAAGCCTTCGACTCAGTTGATCGCGAAGCTCTGATGGGCTCCCTTCTCTGAAAAGGGTCTATGAAGAACTAAGTAGATGATTCGTCACCAGCAGCGGTGTTCGTCAAGGTGCCCTCTCTCACCGTTCCTGTTTACTTTC